GGAATAAGCTATTACCGTAGTACTCATGGTAAGACCTGGACGCGGGACCAATTTTTTTTCGTTTTGAGGTCCCTAGAGGCCAAAAACACCATCCGTTCAAATTCATATATATATATATATATATATATATATATGTGTCCGTTAGCGCGATAACTCGAGCAAAAATGATCCGATTTTGATGAAATTTGGTACAAATGTGTAAACCTACATTTATTCGAACGAGTTCGCGATCCAGCATAATCACACCATGGGAACAGGGGTTTATGGGGGGTTTTATGGGGTAAAAATGGGTTTTTCCCATTTTTGACCGTAAAAACATAAAATTTTAGAATTTCTTTCCCAACCATTTTGTAGAGCTTAAAAAAAGAAATAATTTAGTATATTGAAGCATTGTTGTATGCCCAACGGTCATGGAGAAAATTCAAAAAAATGTAAATTTAAAATTCCCATGTTATTCTTATGGAGAAAATGAAAACTGTTGTAGTTTACTTGTTTATGGATATATGTTGATCAAATTTGGCAAACTTATTTATTTCATCCTATACTATTGACGTTTGGTCATAAAACACTGTGTACCTTCCCCGTAGCAGCAAACCTAAGCACTCGTTATAACCTATCTAATGTTATTTAAATTGGGAATAAATATGTCTTATTTATGGAAGTAGTTTAGTAAACATGTAATCAGACAAGTTGAAATTCGCTTAGTCTGCAGGTTTGCTGCGGCGGGGGTATTTTGTTTATATTACCAGGCCCAAATGTAGCCAGTTTGAAAAAGGTCACATATTCATTTTTTCCTGAGTTATATACGATGGTTTCCATACTGTATTCACCTACAGTCAGTATGATCTCATATACAAGAGATCAAAATGTTTAACATTTAATGTGGTAAAATGCAAATCTATTAAACAACAATTTTACTTCACATTTCTTATCCAATCTTATTTGTTAGAAGTAATTAACATTTTTGGTCAGATTCAACTTGTCATAAACTCAACTTGTTGTTTCATAAAATCTTTTTTACAAAAACAAACAGAGAATCTCACGAAATGGTTGCAAAATAGAAAAGTAAAAATACAGGGTGTTTTTAAAAGAATGCCGGGATTTCAAACGGTCGTTGCTCAGGGACTATTCAGGATAATTAAACAATTTAAACGTCAAATTAAAAGGAAAAGAATAAAGTTTTTTTCTCATTCTTTCATACAATTCGGAATGATTTAATAACATTCAGATTTTCGTCAATCTTATATGAGCGTAAAACTGGCAATGTCTGTACACTTAGAGCGATCGGCATGTTGATCTGATGTCTTAACTAAATCTTTTTCGGCAAAAAGACTCTATCTTTTATAGATAACAATATATAGTAACCAATTTAGGCTTTTTAAACTGAAGACTTAGTCGGGCAATCGATTTTTTCGGGCTTCTGGTGCAGAAATGTCGGATTTCTTCAACTATGTCATCGCTTGTTTTTAGCCGGCCAAGTGAATGTCTTTTCAAAACACCTCGGTGCCACGAAACTCATTAAGTTTCTTTATCATCAAGTAGATTTGAATTTAGTTTAATTTTGCAATGGATATAACCTCTACGAACTACAGATTACAATCTGTGCCTTATGTTGCACCGTAAACGTCGTACTGGCGACTGGCGTCAGGCATATGATGAGCACAGCCACCTCTAATACAGAGGTGGTATTAGAGGTGGCTGTGATATGAGTCACAATAGCGGCCTATCACGCCGAAACTGTTTTACGCATACCAAGGTCAAAGCTTCCTCCCTTGCTGCACGGGAAACAAAACTTAGTTATTTTAGCTTCAATTTGACGTATAAAACGTTTAGTTACCTTGAATAGTATCCAAGCAATTACCATTAAAAATCCCGGCATTCTTTTAAAAACACCCTGTATATTCTCCCCAGAAGATAAGGAGGTAAAAAACCATTATAGTTTTTTTAGCTAGTTGGAGATTTTGTTGTGAAACAAGTTATTTAAATTTTGTTCAGTAATCTTTTCTCATGTAAACATAACCAAACTGCAAATTTCATGGAACATTTGTACAAAGAGAGAAGTAAAAGAGATTCTTGTTTCAGAGGAGTGCCTGAGAATGCATGTGAGGACGTAAGCTTCATACAAATGTAGCTTTACTGTGACTGTGACCAAGTACCTAGTGTGGGGGTGGGGGTGAACTTCCCCTCCCAAAGTGACAACTTTTCCGCTCGATTATTCCAGACTTGTCGAGTTGAATAGTGTCTTGATCCGTGGCGTTTACTGCACTGCATTACGACTACGACTTTTACCATTATGTTTCTACAGGGCAGACATTTACAACAAACCAAATTAAAGTAATAAACGGTTGGAAATATTGCATTTTCAAATTTTTTAAAATTTACTGGTACATTATTATAAATATCAAAAGCTATATATTTTTTTATTACATCTCTCTAATCACACAAATGATAAAGTTTATAAGATTATTTGTATCGGTAACTTTATATTTTACATACTGTGTTAGTTTGATGCCATTGAGCAGTCTTTACCACTTCTTTCATAGCGTTTAACTTTTACTGAACAGATATTTTCAAAATAAACTCTTAAAATGTTAAATTAATTTTACATATAAAATTCCAAATCGTATAAATACATTTTTAAATTTTAAATTGCGGTCTTCCACAGCTAAACAATTACAATTTTATTCGTTTTATATTTAAATGTGTAGTGTTTAAAAGAACAATGGCTTTGCATCTATAATGGGTTTGGTCATAAACAAATCGTAATTAATATAAAAAGGGTTTTTGTTTTAAAAATTATTTTTCTACTGCCTTTTCCCTCTTGTTTATTAATATAAAATGACCAAAATTATTCAGTTTTGTCGATACAAATTTAAGAAAATAGTCTTTTAAACATTGTTCACATTGAAACAGTTAACAAAGCATAAAATTAGGTTATTTAATTTTAAGTCACAATGTAAAATGAAACACTTGAAATTATGTATGGCAATTGTTGATGAGACCCATACGTAGTGAAAAAATCAGTTGATACATTATTATTAGGCAAACGTGTAAATAAACTTAATTAAACCTATGTTGCCTATTGGGTCTGATAATGATTGGAGTGTGCAATCGAAATCGACTATCTTTTACATATATGTACTCACCATCGTGTACCGTGTGCGTAAACAGTATAAGTGTAAATATATTGTTACTAGTGTTATTTTATGTATATTTGTACTTTCAGGTAATTTAATAACATGTAAGATGCTGATCAAGAAGTTATTTACCTACTTACAATCCAGCCTACAAGAAATGGTTCAAATTTAGATTATGATGCTAACTAAGTAATTTGTATTTATAAAATACAGCATAAACATTGTTTCAAGGCGAAACTGTTATGTTTTTATTCTTTTGAACACCATTTTATTAAATTGATGCGTTATTACATTATTTTCGTTATATTATATTATATTTTTAGCCGTGATATAATAACAACAGTTATCAAAATTTTATGTTCAATTCGTGAACAACGTTTCTTTTTAAAACTCTTAAAAAATGGCACACCAGCTTGTCTCCATAGTTCCACTTTGCTCACTGTTGCAAAAATAACTATTTATTGTTTCACGAATAAAATTACATACCATATTTTTCTACCCTATTGAATCCAACAGCCATTAAAAAGAGTTTGGGACTCCATACAAGTTTCATATTTAAGATTTATCAAAGCAGGAGAAGAGTCGTTAGTCATAACTGACTCATTGATGCCTAAACTCATTCATATTCAGACATTGGTGTATTTCAATGGAAGTACGTGTGGATTACATCCAAGGCTGACTAAGACTCAGTACTTGTGGTTTTGCCTTGAAGCAGAGACGTCCAAAGTTCCTTGGAAACATTTATAAGCAAAGGGACTTCACTTGGCAAACACGTTTGACAAACTCGAAACTTGGCTACAGAGTTAAGTTTAACTTGCTAACTCTGATACCTTCTTAGATGCGGGTTTGGGTCTATAACGATACCAAGTTATACAACTAGTTTACAGTTTATTATAAATATTACAGTGGCAATTAATTGTACTTGTTCATAATTTGATGCACAACATTAAGTAATTTATTCTACAAAGATCACATAAATGCATCGCCTACGTCAATGAACCCCTTAAATAATTGCAATTTGTCGTACTAATTACTTTTGGAAAACTTCCCTTTTAAAATTAAGTACTGTATGCATAAAACTGCTCGTCTGCATTAAACTCACGGACACTGTAGTAGCATTAGATACTAGTAATTTTCTAAGGGGGTTTTTAAGTTATATACTTCAATAGTCAATGGTTACAGGGTTTTAAAAAAATTCTGCTAATTTGACAAAGCCTTAAAGAGCAGAATTCCCTCATGATGTTTTTAAAAGGTAGTCGGTCGAATGCTTTGGTACCTGAAGATTGAGGCTTTTTCCCTGAGAATGTTGTCAAGATTTACTCATAAAGGTTTATTACCTTTGAATATTGATACGATATTCAAAGGTATAAATAAATAAATATTTTATTGTCTTGACAATATAAATTGTATCGACAGTACAATTAGGTTTAGTATTAAATAAAACTCTTTAAATTTTGATGCATTTTTCATCGAAGTCTTCGATAGAGTAGATTGGATTTTCAGTAAGGATTTGTTTAGATTTTTTGGAAATAATTATATTTATATGTTAACTGTATAACAAAACCTAATTGAAGTAGCCATACCCATAGAATATTTTAGCGCCTCATGTGTAGTATACAACATGTAAGATTGATTTACACAGTTACTACCAATCTATAAAATTCACCAATTGTTCATTGGTTGCAGTAAAGGATAAAAGAGATAATCTGTACTACCACAAGGTTAAACAATTACAATACATTTTAGAATTGCAACAAATTGGTAGATCTTTTAATTGAAGATTATCATTTTTCACACAGGAAACATAAAGAGCTATACAGTAAAACATTTTTTATGTTCATTAGTTAAAGACTCGTATATTACCTTTTTCAAAGATGTCATAGTGAAGGCGGCGGGGCTGGCGAGCGGCGCTGTCACCGGCGGCTCCAGCCTGCAACAGGGAACACTACAGGTTAGGTTAGGTTGAGTTACACTAGGTTAGCCAGGTTGGGACCCTACAGGTTGGTTTGGGATTTAAGTGAGATTAGGCTGGATTAGGTTAGGTATCGGTTGGTTGGGGCTTAAGTGAGATTAGGCTGGGTTGGGTTAGGTAACGGTTGGTTGGGGCTTAAGTGAGATTAGGCTAGGTTAGGTTAGGTAACGGTTGGTTGGGGCTTAAGTGAGATTATGCTGGGTTGGGTTAGGTAACGGTTGGTTGGGGCTTAAGTGAGATTAGGCTGGGTTGGGTTAGGTAACGGTTGGTTGGGGCTTAAGTTAGATTAGGCTAGGTTAGGTTAGGTAACGGTTGGTTGGGGCTTAAGTGAGATTAGGCTGGGTTGGGTTAGGTAACGGTTGGTTGGGGCTTAAGTGAGATTAGGCTGGGTTGGGTTAGGTAACGGTTGGTTGGGGCTTAAGTGAGATTAGGCTAGGTTAGGTTAGGTAACGGTTGGTTGGGGCTTAAGTGAGATTAGGCTGGGTTGGGTTAGGTAACAGTTGGTTGGGGCTTAAGTGAGATTAGGCTGGGTTGGGTTAGGTAACGGTTGGTTGGGGCTTAAGTGAGATTAGGCTGGGTTGGGTTAGGTAACGGTTGGTTGGGGCTTAAGTGAGATTAGGCTAGGTTAGGTTAGGTAACGGTTGGTTGGGGCTTAAGTGAGATTAGGCTGGGTTGGGTTAGGTAACGGTTGGTTGGGGCTTAAGTGAGATTAGGCTGGGTTGGGTTAGGTAACGGTTGGTTGGGGCTTAAGTGAGATTAGGCTAGGTTAGGTTAGGTAACGGTTGGTTGGGGCTTAAGTGAGATTAGGCTGGGTTGGGTTAGGTAACAGTTGGTTGGGGCTTAAGTGAGATTAGGCTGGGTTGGGTTAGGTAACGGTTGGTTGGGGCTTAAGTGAGATTAGGCTGGGTTGGGTTAGGTAACGGTTGGTTGGGGCTTAAGTGAGATTAGGCTGGGTTGGGTTAGGTAACGGTTGGTTGGGGCTTAAGTGAGATTAGGCTAGGTTAGGTTAGGTAACGGTTGGTTGGGGCTTAAGTGAGATTAGGCTGGGTTGGGTTAGGTAACGGTTGGTTGGGGCTTAAGTGAGATTAGGCTAGGTTAGGTTAGGTAACGGTTGGTTGGGGCTTAAGTGAGATTAGGCTGGGTTGGGTTAGGTAACGGTTGGTTGGGGCTTAAGTGAGATTAGGCTGGGTTAGGTTAGGTAACGGTTGGTTGGGGCTTAAGTGAGATTAGGCTGGGTTAGGTTAGGTAACGGTTGGTTGGGGCTTAAGTGAGATTAGGCTGGGTTAGGGGAGGTTCGACTGGAATTGGAAAGATAAGAATTTCTTAGGATGTGTTTGTGTTAGGCTTGAATTTAACCTTAGCCATAGTCTAAGAAAATAATCATGTAAAAGTCTAACAACACACAACACTGAGTGACGATAAAAACGTACAGCTACCTCTGTATCCAATAGTCAATGCTATAACCCTAGATTAAAGGAGTACTGTAGATTAAAGAGTGTCTACTTCTGCTTAGATGTAGAGAATTCAATATGTATACGACAGTCTTATCTAAAGTAAATGATTTTAATGGATACACATTCTAAAAGTATGCTCAGTTAAGATGATGGAAGGTGTATTATTTATTTTAATGTATTAACTGTATAGACTGTAGTATTTTATAACACAATACACGCTTATTCCATAGGATTAAAAAATTCCTATACTAACCTTAATTTAGAACAGTAGTAGTAAACAGACAAGAGAAACCAATGTGAATTCATTAAAGCATAAAAATAAATAAATGAATAAAATAAAAGTCTTGTTTTACCAAAAGAATAATAAAATGCAATGAATAGTCCACATAACAAACGTTCTTTTGAGTAGAGTAAAGTTATATTCATGGAGGGCAGTCGAGTATTATCGCTCTCCTAAATAAACAGATTCAAATACGGTCCGGTCTGGGCCATAACCAATAGAATGTTATTGCTCTCATATTTGGTATTGTACTGTGTTTGGTCTCCTCCTTTGTTGACACTAAAATACTGTACTTAGGTTTCTAAATGTGTCTGTAGCCCTTTAATCGTAGAGATAGAATTATTTCTTATATGGGAAAAAATATGAAAAGCATATATAAAAATTATAATTGTTACAAATAAAAAAACCCATCTAATATGAGCTTTGTAGTTTAACTTGGTTTCCCTGTCAATATTTACTATTCTCCACGTCATCAATTACACATAATTATTCACGTTTAGACTTATCATTATAATGAGTTACCCAAATAATATTACAGGATAGGGTTTTGTACGGTCAAGTGTGGGGCATTTTGATATTTACTTATTATTTCTTGTAATTTCACTAACTTTCGAATTATACCAACCAAACAAAACTATCTTCATAGGACTGCTTATGCTCTGGCATCCCTGTCAAATTCGTACTGACATAAACACAAACAACCCTAAGAGAAAACAATTTAAATTACATTAGTCAAATAAATTGGACATTAAACAGACATCAAAACAGTTTATTTACAAACATGGTAAAATGTATTCTTGCAACAAACCAAATCCATGCTTCTACAAACAATTAATTTACATCATGTATTACTTCTAGACAAATAAGTATCACAAAAACGACTCTGCAAACTGTGTGTCCTGATTCATGTTTCGATTTCAGGACTGATTTGTAATAAAAGGAGCGCGCTCAACTCGAATTGTAGACCAGAAATCAATTTATTAAAAACGATCTATGCAAAGCATGGATACATTTTTTAAGAAACTAGCTTGTGATAAAACATGACTTTTGGCCTACTGACATAAAGTGTTCAAAGCATAAAACTGAGTATAATACATTTATCATAGTTGAAAGCAATAAAATAAAATAAATAGCCATAATTAAAATCAACTAAAATGCAACAAGACAATGGCTATGAAACCATTAGAGCATGCACAAAGAATAGTTGTCTGGAACATTGATATTTCATGCAGGCAAGGACCGACTAATGGTACAGATTCCTATGATGTCTTTATAAGTTGACTTTATCTTTTCAACCAGATAACCTGTAGAAATTTATGTCTGGTTTTCAAGTAATGTGCTGCACTTTTACTTGCTTTTTTTAACATAATTTATATAAAACCAAACTCATGATGAATGGTTTTAAAATATACTTGTGTCAAGGATGCCAACTTTTGAACACATCCACGCTATCCACATTCAAAGAAGACAATTGCATATTATCATATTTTTAAAATATTTACATTTAATTTTTTGTCGCATGTACTAAACGTACTGCATTGTAAAATACTGACACCTGTCCTCTAGTATTTTTAACAAAGGGTATAAAGTGATAGAATAAAAAACGTGCTATTTATCTATATCTATAAAAGAGGAACTATATATGTATGTACCTTTTGGGCTCAGAAACCGCTAGACAGATAGTAATGAAACTTTCAGGCATTATTAAGCATTATTCAAGGATGGTTTGTGTGAAGTTTAGAGCAGATCCGTCAAAAGGGTTCAGCCCCAGAGGGTTTTAAGGGGTCCAACGTCAGACTTTTGGAACTGCAACGTTTACAAATAAATGTAATTTAAAAGCATATGTTTACTTTCACCAACTGTTGGTTTGAATAATCACAACATTCTGTATTAGTCATGATTTGGAATAGTGCCACAATATTTCCACAGAATGCAGCACAGAAAACTATTTTACTCTTAGATAAGTCCAAAAATATATTAAACCCCAATCGCAGCACACCTGTGCACTCAACAACGTTTAAATTCTCCCCTACTGTATTAAATATGTATACATAAAAAGTAAAAATCTTTATTAAAGTAAAAAACTTATATATTCATACACGGAAAGTAAATAAAGATACGTCTTATAACACTTAAAACATATATTTACGCTTATACTGTTACTCACAAGACGGTAAATATACAAAAGATGGTAAGTGGTGATCGATTTCGATTGGACACTCCAATCATCATCAGACCCAATAGGCGAATGACAAGAATCTTGAATGGCGTCCCTACTTCGCCTATTGGGTCTGATGATGATTGGAGTGTCCAATCGAAATCGATCACCACTTACCATCTCACGACACCTTACTCCTGGGTCACTGGAATGTCCAGAGTGTTAGGCCTAAGCAAGCCCTTTTGACTCTATTTGCTGAAAATGAGAAGCTAGACATCTTGTGTTTGTGTGAACATTTTTTAACTCAAAATGAAACTGACTTTTATAGCAAAATATCTGACCTCAATGCTGCCAGTTTTTTCTGTAGGTCTGAAATTCGGCGCGGTGGGTCTGCAATTTACATCCGTAGCGACATCGATTTTAATGTCTTGAATGTAAATAGTTTCTGTAAAGAACTTGATTGCGAACTTGTTGCTGTTCTTTTACCTGCTCAAAACACCATCTGTGTATCCGTATATCGTTCCCTAGCGGAAGTTTTGAAAGTTTTTGTGAACTTTTTGAACAGTGCCTTGTCTTTCTGAACAGAAAATCGTCTGTTAAAATTGCTATAGCTAGAGATTTCAATGTAAACTTCGTTGGAGATGACCATAGAGCGAGGACTGTTGTAGAGCTCTTGAAATCATATGGCCTGTACATTACCTGCTTTGAGCCAACCAGAGGAAGATCCTGCCTCGACAACGTTGCTGTTAACTTCCAACCCTCCGACTGTGACACAAGGGTGGTGGAGCTGCATGGGGATGATCACGCAGCCTTGGTAACCTCTCTCAATGTGGCAAACTGCAGCCTGGTAAGCAATACTTCTTTATCCTGGCGTGTGAATTATACTTTTAGTTCTAGGCTAGTTGATGATGCTGATCTTGTGCGTTTCAGGGAGGCACTTGCCAGCACCCCTTGGGAGGAAATTTTAAATGATGCTGGAGTTAGCAATAAGTTGTATGTTTTCTTTAAAAAATTTCAGGAGATTTTTGATATGTTTTTCCCTGAAAAAATCAGACCTTACCGACCC